ACGCCCCCTGCAGCCCACGCCCCCTGCAGCCCGTGCCCCTCCTGCCCACGCCCCCTGCTGCCCACGCCCCTCCTGTCCACGCCCCCTGCTGTCCCAGCCCCTTCAGCCGGAGCCCCTGCCGACTTGAATGGTGCAGTGTTAGTTACTAGGTGGCTTCCCGGAGCTCTTGAGCTGCTGGAGGGACTCTGTGACGCACCCTCCTGGCAATAGAACACATCACTTTCTATTTATAGCCACCCCGCCGACCGCAAACCTAGCATTCCCTGGCTTCCTCATCGTACGTGAAAAAAATCTCACCGAGGACCAAAGACCTTAACCTACAGCAGTGAGGAATTCTGTTAGGTGTGCTCTTCCAGTTCCAATTAGTAGAGTAACTGCAGGTCCTAGCGTTTCTCGGGCACAGGGAATCCCTAGTTTTCTAAAGCTTTAAAACCTGCGCGACTATTTTTACATGCGCCCAAAACGTGTCAAGTAAATGTGATCTGTCTCTTGTGAGTTCGCGAAATATTCTCCAAGAATTTAACCAGGCCAAAGAAGCCCTAAACTGGCTGAATTCTGGGTTTCTAGATGGTTTTGTGAATCTACTAAAATCTAACAGTTCTAAACGTAGCATTTATTTGGGAGAAGGAACCCAAATAAAGGGACAATATTACACATTTCAAATGACAGGAAAGTTTTTTTTTTTAACTGTGGCTTTCAGCTACTGATTTTATGCTTTTACATGTGCACTATTCATGTAATTATAAATGGTTAAAAATCATTCCTACCTAGTCACATTAAAGTTTGTAGTAACTAGAACTGAAAATTTAAGGCTGTTAATTTATTTCTCATAACCCTGCTGTTTTCTCCAGTCAATCTAAAGAGGAAGCCTGACCTTTAGCTTTGGTCTTGGCTTCTACTCAGTTTCACTTTCTCAACTCCAGAAATTCCAGAGTAATTTAGATTCAAGAAAAAGGCTTGAATAGACAACGCCAGTTGCAGGTTTGTTTTTAAAAGCCTAGCAAACCACAGCTTAGTCCCCATGAGGGTAGATCCACAACTCAAAATGCAAGCAGAGAAAGTACAATATGCTGTTCTTGCTAACACACAGGCTATGAAAGTACTGCAGGGAGGTGGGTGATCGCGAGATGACGTGGTTTTCCTGTGGAGAGCACCGTGTAAGTACTTTAAAAAGACCACCACAATAATTGGTACATGCATTATAAAATATTCTTTTAATGGCAGGACCTTGTACAGTCAATTTGGCGATTCCTATCACATTTTAAAATGTGCATATGGAGCTGGAAGGATTGCTCAGTGGTTAAGAACACTGGCTGCTCTTACAGAGGCCTGGCGTTCAGTTTCCAGCGCATGGTGGCTCACAACCATCTATAACTCCAGTCCTAGGAGATCTGACGCTCTCTTCTGCTTCCTCCAGGAACATATGTGATGATGTACATACATACATGCATGCAAAACACTCATATACACCAAAAAATTATTTTAAAGCTTTTAATTAAAAAAAAAAAAAAGAACACATAGTCAAGTGGTGATGGTTCATGCCTTTAATCCGAGCATTGAGAGGCAGAGGCAGGTGGATCCTCTGTGAATTCCAGGTCAGCCTGGTCTACAGAGCAAGTTCTGGGACAGCCAGGCCTTCCCAGAGAACAACAGAAAGTACCTGGAACAGCAATTCCACTCCAGTCTTCCCACGTTGGGCACATGGGAGGTCATGGTTGCTGCAATGCTTGCCCTAGGAACCGACAAGAAGCAACATAAACGTTCTGTATGTGGTACATCCACAGTACGACCTGCTTTGTAGGCTTGAAGACTAAAGCCGCGCCTTCAGTACTAACAGGGAAGTGACTCAAGGCACAGTACTGAGAAAAGGACAGAAACAGCCTGGTGCAGACACATCTACAGTCTTAGCTAGTGCGGAGGCAAGAACACTGGAGCCCAGGGCTTCCAGACTAGCTTGGTCAACAGAGTGAGTGAGGCTGGGGGTGGGGTGGGAGGGAGGGAGGGAGGGAGGGAGGGAGGGAGGGAGGAAGGAAGGAAGAAAAAGAAAGGGAAGTTTGATGATTTTTTTTAAATGAAGAGTTTAAGGCTATCCTGGACTGCATGGAGAAACTTCATCTTACACACATGCAAAGAACAGAAACAATATACACTACTATCATTTACATTAGAAAGATGCACACTCATGTATATATTAACTTCTATACACTTTCTGTATGTGAAACTGGCCACAGTGCTTGCCTCCTGGTAGGTAACTGAGAGGAGGGAATAGGGAGAGAGAGAGAAGCTATTTTCTATTCTATTTCTAAACTATGTCTATTATCTGTCCTTTTCTATTTCTGAAATGTGTTCCATGAGCATCTTGAAATTTAAACTAAAAGTACTTATAATTCCTTTATAAATCTACGTACATATGCTAGGCCCTCTCTTTCATTTATAGACATGTTAATCTTTGGAAGCAAGTCTTTGGATTGTTCTTTTTCTAGACTGTGAAGCCCTCAGAAGACACTGCAGATATTCAGTGTTTGTGGAAGTTCTGTGCTGAGGAGTGTTGTTATTTTGTTATTTTGTTGTTATTTTGAAACCACTAAGAGCTACATTCTGGTCCTCAGAGTTCTTTACCCTAGCTGGACCCACCCTGAATCATCACATGCTGAAAGGTTGCTAGAATTGTGTTATGAGCACTTCAAAAGGAGCTGCCGTGCAGATTTTTTTTCTCTATTCCGTGGCATGTTGTGGATGGGAATGAGGCAGACTGAGTATCCATTATAAAATAATTATTTGAGATTTATAACCCCTCTGTTTTACATCGCCACACATTTAAAACAATGGACTGTTAATCAAAATTCTTGTTTCCCACAATGTTTTCCTATGCTATAGATCAAGCAGTGAGATTTCAAAATACCCCAGTGAGGTGATGTGCAGAGAGTGCTTCTATTTTTGTTATGAAAGTGACAGTGCACACACGTTGGAACGACAGCGAGCCCTCCTGGCTGTGCCATTCCACTGTGGATGTTCTTCCTTAGGTTGGTATTAGCACGAGTGGGTGAGGGTCTGCTGAATTCTTTGGGAAGGGTCACTACTATAATGAAGACTGGGGCCGGGGTGGGGGGGGGGGAGTTGATCTCTGGACAAACAAATGGTTTTTGTCGTTCACCTGCGTGTGAGTGATGTGGATATAGCATTCTCCCAGAGTCTGGCAGAAAACAGTTCAAAATAGAATTATCACTGGAATCTGGAGAGGTTTAAAATGGTTTCTTGGGTCTCAAGTTGTTCGAGTATCTATCTGTTTTCCCAATCCACTGCACATGGGTTTGTGGTTTGGGGAACGTGGGAATGGCAGTGGGCAGCCTCACCTCGTCACTCGGACAACTTGAGACCCTGGCGACACTTGGCCCTGCTTTTCTCCTTCGGTGGCGTCTGGTTGGAGGAAATGGCCCTGGGAGCCAGGAACGTGGGCCCCGCTCCCTTGGCAGACACTCTCCTAGCTCCACCGTGCTGGGTTAGCCCCACTGCTTTCCTTGCGTGCTTCTGTATCCAGACTCGGTGTCTCCTGCCTGTCTCAGTTCAGAAACCATTCTAAAGATAGATGCGCTCCTGCCAGTTGCTTACGAGCAACAAGATTAAATTCTGTGAGTGGTGACTTGAGTGCTTTCTGAGGAAGAGCCACTGGGATAGCCTAAGCCCTTACAGCTTTTGGTTGAGGTTGACGAAGCCTGATGTTTTGCATATAGGCCTATGTTCTATCATGCATACCAAAGAGTATATAAAAGCAAGGTGTACATTTTACCATTATAAAGTGATACTCGTGTGTCTACCACCCATTTTAATAAAGAGAGCACTACTAGCCCCAAGAAGCCACTATAATAACCATTTTTTAAAAGATTGCTTCTCTTGGTTCTGTGTTCATAATTTTACTTTCCTGGTTTTTTTTTAAATTATTTTATTTATTTTTAAATAGGGATGAAATCCAAGCCCCCCTCATTGCAGAGAAGCAGTCTGTCACCTTTTTCATCCTTTTCTCTTTCTTGTCAGTCTCCTTTTTTTTGCACGTATATGCATGTTCATATATGTGTATGTGCATGCAGAGGTCAGAGGTCAACCTCAGCTATTGAACACCACTTTTCTTTCCTTTTTTTTGAGATAGGGTCTCTCACCAGCCTAGAACTCACCAAGTAGGCTCAGCTGGCTGGCCAGCAATCCCTAGAGATCTACCTCTCTCCAGTTCATCAGCACTAGGACTAACAAATGCCATGAGGCCCAGACTTTTTTTTTTTTTTAAACTGGGGGTCAAATTCAGGTCCTTGTGCTTTCGAGGCAAGCACTCTAGAAATCAGCACTCTACTGACTGAGCTCTCTCCCTACATCCCCTTCCTCTCTCTTTAAAAACCTTCAATTTTATTCCATCTACCTGTCATCTATCTATCCATCCATCCATCCATCCATCTATCATCTATCTATCTGTCTGTCTGTCTGTCTGTCTGTCTATCTATCCATCCATCTATCATCTATTTATTTATTTACTTTTATGTGTGTGTGTGTGTGTGTGTGTGTGTGTGTGTGTGTGTGTGTGTATGCATGTATAGGTTTGCATGTGCCATGGCGCACAGGTTATAGGACAACTTGTAGCAAGTAGTTGGTTTTCTTCTACCACGTGGGTCCTAGGGATCAAGCTGTCAAGCTTGGTATCAGTATCTTTACCCACTGAGCCACACAACCACCTGCCCCCACCCCTTTTCTTTTTTAATATTAGCTTTGAGACAGTGTCTCCTGTGCTGCTTAGGCTGGCTTCGATCTTGTGATTGTCCTGGGTGAGCCAGCCTTCCATACTAAGTAGAAATGCAGGCACAGGGAACACCCAACTTGACTGAATGCTGACACGTGGCTTTCTAAAACCATGCTTAGCCTTGCTTGTGCTTAAACCACAAAGAAGCGGAATCCTGCTTTTTTCATTTAACGTTGTCTTTTTTGAGATAACATTGACCAAGTCACTCCTTTCTCTTCCAACCACAGACCTCGAGGATTCTTGATTTATCTCCTGACTAGTCCTCTGTCGGCAGATCTTCCTCTCCAAAACTGTTGGTTCACACCACCCTCAGCCAAATAGTCACCTTAAAAAAACAAAGTTGAGGCCAAGGATGTAGCTTAGTAGGAGAGTGTTTGACTAGCAAGGCCATGGTTTCAATCACAAGTACCCAAAACTAAGAATCATGTTCTAGAAGCTGAATATGGTGGTGCATGTGTTCTTAGCTACATAAGTGAGCTAGAGGCCAGCTTGGGCTACAAGACTATCTCAGAACAAAACAAAAAAAAATATTTTATTTCAAAAATCATATTCAATGATATAAGAAATATTTATGATATATTTAAATAGACCTAAAACCACATATAGACCAAATATTTAACAGCTATTTCTGGATAATAGGGTAATTTTTTTCTTTGCTATTGTTTTTTTCCAAAGTTACAACAGATTACAGGAAGCCTATACACTTGGTTCAGATCCTACCCTGACTTTATTTTCACACCCCCCAGTGGAGGGGAGCAGATAAGTCCTGAGTGAATGCCTGTTGTTAACATGAGCATAGTCGAGTCAAGGACCCTGATGCCTCAGACCTGTGGGATGTCGAAGCTGTCCCTGGTCGATGTGCAAACGCAGTAATGGAGCCCACACAGATCCTGGGAGGGCAGACGTACAGACACTGGTCCCTTTAGGTTACGCTTATGAACCTGAGTGGTCCAGTATCGGAAAGTGGTGACGCGCAGTGGAGACCGTAAGTGGGAAGCCTGAGAAATGTACTTCCAAAAATCATCTCTACAGGATCCCAGTCTGGCTTCTGTGGATTTGGGGGACCCATAGCTAGTGGGGTTGCCTGAAGTTTCTCAGCCCATCAGGAAGGGGTGCAGGCAGCTCATCTTAATCACACCATGTACCTTTCCGGAGAACTCCCAGCTTAGGCCTAGGCCCTGCTCCTGCATAGGAACATCTGAGGGCCATGAAAAGCTGTAGCCATTACTAAAGGTCGGAGTTCAGTATGCCAGTAATGAGCCATTAAGGACAGAATCAGCGGAGCTCAGCTTTTAAAGCAGCAGGATCCATAACTAGCGGGGTGATTCTGGACGTTCCTTTGTGGGAAATGACTGTTTTCAGCTTGCCTGTGGAGGAGAGAGATATACCCTAACAGTGCTGGGAAAACACTTTAAGAGATTTTCTCCACCACCCGCCCTTGCCTTTGGTAAGCGGTACCCTGAATGTATCCCCAAACTGCCTGGTGACACTTTCACTTGTCAATCAGTCAGTCCTGATTTCAGAAGGAGCGGCACCTGCTGTCTAGTCTGACTCTCCACAGCTAATTCTCTCTCCCTTTGGGCCAGCTTTAAAAGGCCTTTGTGTCTGCTGCTTTCCCAGCTCAGGGCGGACGGCACCGCTGTAGCCATTGCTTATCACTGTGGTGATGACCAGCACCCACACGTTCTAAGACGTGTACAATAACACAGAAGTAAACATGTTTGGGCTAGTCTTGAAATAAAGCTTTTAAAAGTCCTGGACGGCTTGGCTGTTTCTAACTAGGAAACAGGGGTGGGCGGGAGGGTCCGCAGAGCGGCAGGACTGCTCCATGTTAGGGCTGCCGCTCGGCTGCACCCACTCTTTAAAATTGGAAAGGGAACATCAGGAACCGGAGGGGGAAGCCATGGCAGTAGAAACTGTCGAGGAATGTAGACAGGAGAGTCACAGCGTGTGTGTGTGTGTGTGTGTGTGTGTGTGTGTGTGTACCTCAACAGCATCAGTAAGGTTGCCCAAACCACGCTGTCACAAGCACCGCTGTGGTGAACACCTCTCACTGTCAGCTTATGGACCTTTACAAAGCTCCTGAGAGTTGAGGAAGTTCTAAAGGGAGGCTTACTAAGACAGGAAGTAAACAACTCACAAGTCTCAGAAGTCCCCCAAACATACCAGATTCACAAGGCTTCTCCCTCCCCACGGTGATAAAAGCAGTAAAGATTGAGGAGGAGAGAGACTTTCTGACTTACGGAGCTGTAAGCGAGTCATGCAGGGGGCGCCAAGATTTCAGGCATGAGTTGTCACCCATGCTGGGGTGGGATTGTTGTAACATAACTGCCCTTGAGTAATCCATTCCTGTAGGTAATCCCTTATCCATACTCTTGTTCTAAGAAACCCCGAGAAATTCATTAGTTCACCAAGTTGGACACGATAGTGTCACTTTGATTTGCTCTGGGTAATTAGACTTTTGTTACTGTCTCCTCAAGGACAGTGTCACGCAACAGTCTCCCGTCAGACTTGAGCACAGGAACTATGCAAGCGATCACAAAAAGATCATCAAGTAGAAGACATGAGAGAAATGGACGTGAGAGGAAAAGAGTACAGACAGGAATAAACAGAGGTGTCCAATGAAGTGTTTAGTATTTTAATACTCAGGTCACTTGAGCTGCTATTTGCTTAAGCAGCAAATAAATAACCTAGAGACCTGAGAGGAGGCCCAGGAATCTAGTGGGCCTTCCACACTTTAAGAACTGTTGGAAGAGGCAGGGCACAGAATTCTAAAGTGACACATAGTAAGGACTGGAGGTAAGCCATAGCTCTTCTACCACAAGATGCTAATCCTTATTTGAGGATCTTCCACATAGTCAAAATCTGCTTTTAGTGTGGTCTATAGAATAATTCATTATATTCACCTATCTATAAAATGACCTCAAATAAGAAAAAGGTTTTATATATAACATCAGCTGGCTGGAGAGATGGCTCAGCAGTTAAGAGCGCTTTGCTGCTCTTGCAGAGGACCCAGGTTTGGTTCCCAGCACCTACAGTTGTGAGCAGCCTTCTCTGACTCCAGTTCCAGAGGATCTAATGCCCTCCTTTTGGCTTCCACAGGTACCAGGCACTAATGTAACACACATTAATACATATAATCAAACACTCATATGCATACAATAAAATGTAGTACAGTAACCCAGATTAGAAACACAGCGTTTCTGCCACTGTGAGAGATCTGGTTGGTTTAACTTTTCATAGGTTGACCTGACCAATACTGTTCACCTACTACCAATGCTGGGTCCCTCGCCCGGCATAGCTCCAAAGTGGTTTCAACCCATTAAGAGAAAATGCATACACAGGTTGTGTGCTTCAAGAAGTTTCTGGCACAGCTCATTTTCATTAGCAGACTCTGGGCTGCTGAAAGAAATCATGGATTAGGGTCATGTCACAACTCTGCCCTGGAACGGTCTGTATCCTAAACTGACCACTCCTGAGGAAGGCCCCAATGTGACTAGAGCAAACCTTTGTCCTCATCTCTCTCTTTTCTGATTTCCAGACCACTGTAGATTTCAGTTATCTGGGGATGGAGGTTGTATCTAACTTCGAAAACCTACAGCAACATTGTCTCACTACTACTGGACTTTGTCAGGAACGGATGTTGGATATTCGAGGTAGATTTGAATAGGAACGCAAATTGTTTTAAGCCTCAGGAAATCACCTCCGAATCTGAAGACGCCAAGGCAGCAGGGATGAAACAGGTGTAAGGTCCAGCCTGGGCTACACAGCAAGTAGCAGGACAGCCAGGGATAGGTAACAAGACCCCCGTCTCCAACAACATTCAAAACAAACAATGCATTTTTGTAGGATAAGAAGATGGGTTTTGCCAGTGTGTTTGTTTCTGGGGACTCCTTCAAGTACTAGTGCACGCAAAGGGTTAAAGTCTGTGAAGTGATTACTGGACAGTAGCCAAAGTATTGAGACACACCATAGCTCCCGGGAATGAGTACCAGCGCACCGAGGCACTACCTTACGGTTCAAGGTGAGGAGGAGGGGGAGAGTGCAGAGGGGCATGCGGAGAAAGCTAAGCTACACACAAGTACTGCAAAGCCCGAAGAGTGTCGTTCACGCCGGGTTAAGAAGTGCCATTTCCAGAAACCCAATAAAGGGACGCGTGTGCACGGAGGAGCTGTTTCAACCTGTCCACACCCTAGGTGACTGCCCCACAAAACGGGCGAATCCTGGGCCGAAGTGATTGCCACGCCTCGCGTCCTTGCCTCCTCGAATCTCAGTGCACATGCCCACCGGGCTGTCTTAGGAGTGGGCGCTGCGTGGACGCGGATCAAGTTTGGATCGGATCCACTCGGAACCCGCCCGCCCGGAAAGTGGGCTTGGCCGCAGGGTCTGCCTGCAGGCTCCGCCAGGGAGCCGCCCGCGCGCCCCTCCAGCCCGTCCCGGTTACCCCGCCCGCGGCCCCGCCCCGCCCCGCCCCGCGCGGCCCCGCCCCGCCCCGCCCCGCCCCGCGCGGCCCCGCTCTCACACGGTTACTTGCGTGACTGACCCGGGCCGGGAGGGCTGGAGGACCGCGCGGGAGGAGGGAGCGAGAGCGCGGGCCCGCCCACTCCTCGCCGCCAGCCTCTCCTCCTCATTGGCCACGGGCCGGCATCCATCACCCCCACGTGGCGCTCGGATTGGTGGAAAGCGCACTTCCAGAACGAGGAGGGCAGAGTGACTCCGCGGGTCTCCCGCGGCTCTTTTTCTCCTCCCCCCCCCCCCCCCCCCCCCCCCACACACACCCCACATCCCCCACACAAGCATCACCTCTCCCCACCCCCACCCCTTCCCCCGCCCGGTGCGCGACAGTGTCCTTAGAAGACTCATTGGGCCAGGGGCGAAGCCAGCCACCTAGCGAGCCCCACCGCCATTGGTCGACGGTCACGCCCGTCAAGGCGGCGCGCCCCGCCACTGGGCATCCTCGCTGCGCTCCCGCCCCGCCGCCTCCTCCCTCGCGGCTCTCCCCGGCCCCCTACCCCGCCCGCCCCGCCGCTTCTTCCCGGTCCAGCTGGGCGGGGACTGCCCTAGGACTCTTTAAAGTCTGTGAGTCACTGCACAACCCATCAATCCAATTAAATGTCTTGAGCGAGCCGAGCGGGCGGTGCTCCCCGCCGCCGGCCGCCCCTGCTCTCGGCGCCCCGCTATCCATGGCTGGCTGGCTGTACTCCTCCCGGTGCGCCCTCCTCCCGCATCTCGCCAGCCACGGCAACTTCCCCTCGGCCAGCCTCTGCCCCCAGGCCGCCGCGGCATGGGCTAGACCCCGGGCCGCTTCTTGCCGTCTCCCGTCCAGCCCGCGCGCGGTCTCGCCCCTTTAGCTCTCCTCGCCCCGTCCCCGCCGTTCCCCCGACAGTCAGTCCATCACCCGGTCGGCTTTCCTCCGCGGGGCAGCGGTGGAGTCCCCGCGGGCTCGGTAGGAGCGGGCGCCCCCATCCCGCTCCTCCTCCCGCTCCTCCGCGCTCCCACCCGTCGGGTTCCCGGTCCCGCACCGAGGGACGCTCCGACCGACACCCGCTCGCCGCGGCCGTACGACCCGCCCGGGAGCTGGACCCGGCACCCACTTCTTTGCGGAAGGTGAGTACGGCGCGGGATTTTGGGTGGGGTGGTCTGAAAAAAAAAAAAAATGTGGTTGCCGGGCCACTTTTGGGAAGGGTAGGGATCAGGTTGTGGTTGGAGGTTCCCGGTCCGGCGTGGATTTGAGGAGGCGACTCCCTCCTTCCCTCGCTCGCTCTTCCCCCGCCCTTGACGCCCTCCTTCTCCTGTCTTGCTGTACATGTAGGTATTGCCAGACTTCCACCAGCGGGGCATTATGCCGCTTGTAAAATAATTGGTGCTGGCATGCTTTCTGTCTTTTGAATGCCTAAGTGAGCAGTAATAGTCAGCGATGTGATCTGATAGACTGAGTGTCCTGCAAAAAGTGTAAAATGCCTAATGGGCACATTTTCCTCTAAATCAAAGTTAACTTTCATTCAATGAAGGCAAAGCAAAAGGTGTTCTTAATTTGAATGCATGGTGATAGAGGAGGAGAAGACTGGTTGCCTAGTGGCATTGCTTAGTGCTTTTATTTTGAAACATTTTATGGGTTTTCTTCGGGGAAAAATGTGAATTTAGTATTAAAGGTTATGAAGTCTGAACCTGTTGGAGGAGAGCAAGGTAAGATGGGAATCCAGCATGGTATGTCCACTTCGGTTTTTCCTCTGCTCTAGGGAGGCATTACAACACAATTGTGTCTTTCTCAGTCACTGGACTCGGTGCAGAGCTGTATGGATTGAAAAGCAGTTTAGATTTTGTTTCTTTTGGTATACCTTTTGTATTCTTGACTATTCTTTAAACAACGTTACTCGACAGAATTTTGTCAATTTTAAATTTAGTTTCTCTATCTTAAGTGCCTCCAAACTACACATACCTACACCTAGCTATCTGCTTCATGAGAATCTTACCTTATGGACCTTTAATATTTATTTTGAGGTAAAAGAATAAGATATGGCTGCTCCGACCTGGATTCTGAGGTTGCTGTTTAGAATTCAGTAGTTTTAAGTTCGTATTGCTTTCTTTAAATCGAGTTCTATGCTAGTCGTCCACAAGATTTAAATTAGGCCAAACCAGACATGTTTTGAAATATTAAAGTACAGCATTGGCCTCTTAGTAGTTCGTTTGCGACTTCTCTTTCAGACTAACCAGAATAAGTTGTTACTAAATTTAATTTTAAAGAATAGACTGTTCCTGTGCTGAAATCTGCCAAGTTGCTACAGAAAGATTTCTTTTTAAAGAGCAGAAATGTGGTTATGATCAGTCCAAAGCAGTGAGGCTGAAAAGTAACTTACATGTAAAAGTGCTGTTTTAGAGACATGCTCGTCACCAGCTCCCAGGCCTTTCCGTGTGTTTCAGGAAGACCCACACAAAGACTTTGAATTGTTTAGTAAATTTACCATGTGACTTTTTTCATGAGGGTGAAGCCACATAGCACAGGGGATCCTGCTGTCTGAATTTGAATTTTGTCACTGTCTCTCACTGGCTCTGTGACCTTGGACAAATTTCCAACAATCAGAACTGTAGTGGTTTTCTCCAGAAAGACTCCTCTTTAAAAGTTTAAAAGTAAGATGCTTGCAATAGTCTACATCATCGTTGGAAGATAGGTGTCTGTGTAGTATTTAATAGTGAAGCCCCGGGGGCTGGGGAGATTGCTCAGTTGGTAGTCCATTTTCTAAATTCAGATTCTCAGCACCCACAAAAATGTGGCAGCCTTCCTGTAACCCCAGTACTGGGAGGGGGAGACAGGGACTCTTGGGGCAAACTAGCAAGTTAGACTAGCCAATTGGCAGGCAAGCTCTGGGTCCAAGCAAGAGACCCTAGCTTAATAAAAAGATGTAGGAAGAATGAGACAGATACTTGATGTCAACCTTTGACCTCCACACACATGTGCATGTGCACAGACGTGTGAACACAAACACATGCATGCACACCATACACACGGGGGAAAAAAGAGCAGGGCTCTGGAACAAGGCTGCTAGTGCTCAGCAGGAGCCCATCTGCCAGGGAGGCTAAGGCAGGAGGATGACCTAGTCCAGGATGCAGACTATAGTGGAACTTTTTCTCAGACAGGCAAACCAACAAAGAAACTAAAACCAAAACAAAATGAAAAGGCTCTTGACTCAGGTTCTGTACATCTGTGTGCTCTTGGCCAGGCTAACTGGATATTGATCTATGAAATGGTAACAGTAGCAATGTCTACTCCATACTGTTATGAGGACAGAATGGATTCACATGTGCAGAGACTTTGTTGTTGTTTTTTTTTTTTTTGGTTTTTTGAGACAGGGTTTCTCTGTGTAGCTTTGCGCCTTTCCTGGAACTCACTTGGTAGCCCAGGCTGGCCTCGAGTGCAGAGACTTTGAATAGTGTTTGGTAGGTCTGCCCAAGTTTAGCTCAGTTATGTATACAGGTGACTTTAGAAGTGGGTTTGGGAATCCAACCTAGGACTTTGCCAAGTGAAAGCAAGCACTCCACTACTGATTGGCACACTTAGCCTCCGTGGTATAATTTTTTTATTTTTATAAAGAATCATTGGTGTTAAGCAGGCTTTTATCATGTGCCTGATGTTTGAACTATAGTTTATGTGAAATGTTTAAGAAATTCAGTTATCAGAAGCCAGATCTGGTGGCACATGCCTGTAAGCCAGCACTCCAGAGGCAGAGAAAGCTACAAGTTTGAGGCCATCTTGGTCTCTATATAAAGTTCTGTGCCAGCCAGGACTTCATAACAAGACCTTGTGTCAAAACCCCCTTCAAAGAGGCGGGAGAGAGAACTCAGTGAATAAATTGCTTGCTTTATAAGCGTGAGGACCTGTGTTGGGTCCCCAGGCCCCACATTAAAAGCCTGTTCTGGTGGTGTAAGCTTGCAGTCCCAGTCTGCAGAAGCAGCAACAGGCTGCTGCTCACTGGCCAGCTACCTTATCCTACTTGGCAAGTTCCAACCCAGTGAGAGGCGCTGTCTCAAAAACAAAGCAGACAACGCCGAAGCCATGATACTCGAGGTTGTCCTCTGACTTCCACTTGTATGCATGTACCTGCACATGGGGACACGCACACACAGAAGTGGAGGGAGGAAGCTCAGTTATCGGGCAAGACATACTGTAATGTACCTGTAACCCCGACACTCAGGAAGCTGAGGCAAATGATTGAAATGAAAGGCTAACGGGGATTATAGGGCGAGACATTGTTTTGAAAATGATTTTTAGTTTATTGGATGAGTTGAGTTGTCCACACACTTTCACTTTTTTTTTTTTTTTCATTTTGCAAGGCTCTCACTCTAGTCCAGGCTAGCCTCAAACCTGTTTAAGCCTTCTGAATGCTAGGATTACAAGTTCCAGGCACCATTGTTTGCATTTTTTCATTTAAATTTGCATAGTAGCCCGTACCCACTGCCATTATAAAATTGTTATAGAAACCACATGGTGGTTTTTGTTCGTGGTTTTCGCCTGTAAAACTAACAGTAGTGTTTCATTTCTGAGTTCATTGCTGGTGCCTCGCAAAGTACCTGGCATATAAAAAGTGGATAACGATGTGGAATTAATTGAACAATGTTTTTTTTCCAAATTATTTATGAATAATTGAATGAACATTTTAAGTGTGATATTGTAGAGAATATTATTTCTTGTTGAACTGAATTTTTACTTTGTCTGATGTGGTGGCTCATACCTTTAATATCAGTACTCA